AGATATTTCACTCAGCATAATGTCCTCCAGGGTCACCCATTTTGAATAATATTGCATGAGTTCCTTGTTTTTCAATGCAGCATAGTATTCAATTGTGTGATTATACCACAGTTTCTCTATCCATTCGTTTGTTGATGGGCACTTAGGTTGTTTCCAACTCCTTGCTATTATGAGCAAAGCCACAATAAACATGGGTGTGCATATATCTGCTTGGATGTTGGAATTCCCATTCTTAAGGTCAGCCACAATTTATTGTGATCTACACAGTCAAATGCCTTTGCATAGTCAATGAAACCCAGATAGACATTTCTTGAGCTCTGGTGGCCTAGTGGCAAGAAACTGCTCTGAAATCCCGAGGGCATGTGGTTCGAATCTACCAGCTGCTCCACAGGAGAAAGATGGGCTGTCTCCTCCCATGTGACTCTGAAAACCTGTTGGAGGGTCAACTGTGGGTCGGTTCTGACAACAACATACCAGATAGGACATTCCTTTAGTACCCTCTGCTTTCAGCTAAGATCCATCTAGCATTGTCTATAATGCCTCTATAAAGTCACGGCTTCTTCTAAACCCCACTTGCACATCTGGCAGTTCTCTGCTGATGTTATTATTCCAGTCATTTTTTTATAATCTTCAGTAGGCTCTTGCTTGCGTGTGACATTATTGCTGCTGTTCAATAATTTTCACACATTGTTGGATCTCATTTTTTAAAAATGAGAATAAATAAGAAGCAATTGACAGTACCACGGCTTTGATCAGGTGCACCTTAGTCTTTAAACTGACATCCTTGCTCTTTAGCACTCCGGAGAGGTCCTTGACAGCAGATTTCCCTAATGCAACACAGATTTTTATTTCTTTTTTTTCTTCTTTTTTGTCTTTGTGCTACTTTTTTTTTTTTAAGTTAATTTCAATGAACATCTACAGAGATTTTGGACTTCCATTCATTCATTATTTGCACTTTTCTCCCCACCTACCCCACCCCCACCCCCAGTTCACTCCTCTCCTTGAAAATCAAAAGAAAAAATCTCCTACATTGGTACCCAATCCCCCCCGCACACCCCCACCCCGAGTATATTACTTTTAAACTATTCTCTTCCTTCCTTTTTAAAAAATTTTAGTGATTTTTTTTTTAAATTGTTGGACATTTTCTCCTCCCTCCCCCAACCTACCCCACAGAGCATCACTTGTTCCAGATTGTTGTCTGCATATAATGCCTCATCAGATTCTCCTTTTGGACAGTTCTTCCCCTTATCTGATCTAAGGCAGCCTTTATTATCTATCCACCCTTGTCCCATTCTCTCCCCAACCCCCACCCTTATCTGTCCTATTTTATAGCAGTGGTGTTATACAATATGTTATGTGTTATGTTGTGACTGAGAAATGTCACTCAGCATAATATACTCCAGGCTCCCCTACGTAGTGTAATGTTTTAGAAGCTCATTGTTTTTTAATGCTGTGTAATACTCCATTATGAAAATGTACCATAGTTTTTCTATCCATTCGTTTGTTGATGGACACTTGGTTGCTTCCATCTCTCTGGGATTGTGGTTTGATTCAGCAGTAAACATGGTGTGCCTACGTCTGTTTGAATCATGGCTCTGCTTTCTTTAGTGTATATGCCCAGTAGTGGATTTGCTGGATCAAATGGTATTTCTGTTTCCTTCCATAGTGGTTGCCCCATTTGACTCTCCCAGCAGAAGTTAATAAGGGTTCCAGTCCCTCCACAGCCTCGTCAGCATTTGTCGTTTGCTGCCTGTGGAACTTTGCCTTTGTCCTGAGGTGAGAGGACACCTCGCAGTCGCATTGATCTTCTGATTTCTTGATCTCTGTTCCCAGCTGTTGGGTGTGAAGTGAAATCCTGGACAACTTCATTCCTTTCTTCACCAGTATGCCTGAGGTTACCTGTTGTCCCAGTGGTGAGGGTGTTTGTTTTCTTCATATTGAGATGTGTCACATACTGAAGGCTGTAGTCTTTGATCTCTGAACCCATTGGAATGGTGAGAAATCCTTGTCACACGCCTGCTTTCTGTTCATACAGCTTCCTGAAGATGTAGTCGCCGAGCTGAATATAGCCCATTTCGTTTCTTTCTGTAGCATCTGAGGGTGACAGGTGAGGTCAAGGGCTCCAGTGTGACGCCCAGCGCCTCTGTGAGCTTGACTGAAGGAATATTTCCCCTACTGGAAATGGCCTGAGGGCACAGTGACTGCTGCTGGGCCTCTTGCACTCTGTCAGGTCACTGGCCTCTCGGCCTGGCCATCAGGGAGGAATCTAGAAAGAGGCACAGGAGGTCCTTGCTTCGGGCCTGCTGGCCACACAGCTGTAGGCAGACACATGCGACCTCTCTGTGCCCCGGTTCCCCGTCTCAGCACTGCAGTGCAGGTTGGTGGCCATGTGGCCCTGGAAGCGTGGAGTCTCTGGGGCCTGACTTCCCTGTGTCTTGCCTCCGCAGAGGAAGCACTGAAATGATGTAAGTAGTGTCTGAAAGGTCCCTTCCCGCCCCTCCTCTCTGCCTTCTCCTGCTTTCTTGGTGCCTCGGTTCCCCCTACAGCTCCGCTTTTTTCCTCTGTGCTTTTCCTGGGATTATAATCTTCTCAGGCCTGTCCATGCTGAACCCTCCCGCCAAATGATCTTCTACCTGAAACGGTTCCGCCCTATCATTCTTTTCCCCCTTCACCGTGTCTTGGAGGTCAGAGTCCTTACAGTGTCATCCAGCACTGTCTCCACTGCCTTCCATGACCTTCCCCTCCCGCACCCCACACAGTCAGGCCCACAAGCCCACCACACTCCCCGGCTTCTGATCACATCTTTAAGCCTTTGGCCCCTAAAGTCATCTTCTAGAATGACTGAATTACTAGAATTTCACATATTACTGGATGGCTCTCAAGAACTGAGATGTTTCACAATCATAGAGTCGGGGAATCCAAAACCAGGGTGCTGGTGGCCTTGGTGGTGGCCATGCTCATTCCTTCTGAGCACTGGGAGGGACAGTGCCACATGCCCCTCTCCCAGCTGGGCACTCCAGGCGCTTTCTGATGGGACAGCTGTAGCGGCCTTCTTCTGTCCCCTGGTCTCTGTCTCTTCTCTCTGGTCAGGACCCAGGGCACCATTCCTCTCCTCTTGGTAACTGCAGACCAGTATAAACCCCTGACCAGGACCGCCCCCTCCCCCATGACTCTCCCCAGAGGAGGATCTCTGGGGAACAGGGCGCCCTTACGCCACGTGAGTGCTCAAGAATTCCAACCCAAACTCAGTTTAGTGACAGTGAGTCTTTATTAAGAGATTCTGCAAAATCGAGGCCGAACCCAGACAAAGCGGCAGGCTAGTGTGCCCTAACCCTAACCCGGCCCCCATCACTCGCGAGCCCTCCCCGATGCCTCCCCAGCTGAGCACTGCGGGGGTGGGGGGGTATGTTCTTTCCTGGACAGCTCTTACCTCTTCCTTTAAGGTCCCTCCCCTCCCTTTCCCCTCCCACCTGTTTGCAGGTGCATCTCAGGAGCTCTGAGGTTTTTCATGTCAGTTAATAGTTTGTTTCTCTGTGTCCACTTGTGACTCCCAGTCTCATCTCTTTACCCTGAAGACTGACCACTCTGAGTTCTAATTCTTCCGGCTCTGATTAGGATTCTCATTGTGGTGGAGTCAGAACCAGTTGATAGCTGGCCCTCCATTGGGTTTCTGTAAATTGCACGGGAGGAGAGTCTTTCCGTCTTTCCTTCTCGGAGACCCTGGGATTTGAACCACTGGAGAGGCATGTCCTTCGGCTTAGGGTGACAGCTACCTCCAGACCGCACCACCAGAGCTCCGTCTTGATCAGACGGTGCTCAGATCCCGTCCTCAGAGACCCTGTGCCCAGGGAGAATCAGTCCACAGGGGTGTGACTCCTGCGTGGCGTTTCGGGGGACACAATTCGCTGCACACAGACTTGGATCCAGAAACTGGAGGGTTCACTTCCCACCCCCACACGCGAGGAGTCCTCCCGGGCTGATGAGTCACGTCAGAGGTTCAGCCACCAGGAAACCTTGGCCTTTCCCCCCAGGCTAGCGTCCTCTCTCCCTCCCCTATGGCCCCCAGCCCTTAGTCCTCACCTCTCCCACCCCTCAGGGACCATGTGGTGTCAGTGGCAAATAAGCGTGTGGCCCTCACCCAAGCTGGGCTGCCTTACTCATGTAGGATCTTCCCGGGACTCTCTGGCGCCTTGCCCCCACTGTGCCCTCGCCAGATCTCTGCACAGCGGAGGGGCAGTGGCCACGTTGCCAGACAGGCCAGCGCACCAACATAAGGTCTGTAGAAAGAGAAGCATAAACCGTGGCTCGGAGGACAGGCTCGCTTGACTCACCCCTGCGGTTACGTAGACACACAGGGCTGTCAGGCAAGCAGCAGAGGCCTTCTTTCCCGAAGGATCGAGGATCGAGGTCCAGTACTGAAGCAGAGCTTCCCTCCACACAGAGGACTCTGCGCTCCCTGGGGGGGAAGGGACTGTAGCCAGGAGGCTTATCCCCAAGTGCGTGGAGCTGTGCTTGTGTATTACCCGCTGTGTCTGGCCATCAATTTACACTTCCTTTACAATGTTCTAGGATCCAGCTCAGTCTTCTGGTTTTCATCCTTCAGGGTCTGTGGTTGCAGTTGGAACACTGACTGGCAGGTAAGTTGGGGCCAGCATGCTCTGCGCTTTCCCAGAGTGCTCTGCAGGTCCCAGCCTGAGGGCAGAGGCTGCACACTTTCATTTCTTCAGGGGGAGGCAGTTCCCCCTCAGCTGCGTTTCCTCATGCCGCTACCGAGAATTAAGTCAGAACCAGACAGCAGAACATCCCAGGCATCTGTGAGCTTTGGACCTTGGGAAATCTGGGGGAAGTTACAGGCCTTCTGTCCTAGAAAAGTAGCTGCCATACCCCTGCCACACACCCCCAGCACCCACACCTACACACAGCCCGTCATACACACACCCCCATCGACTCCCTCTACCAAAAGAACAAACGGCTGTGTCTTACAGGAAGTGCAACCTTGGAGGCAAAGATGGTGAAGCTTTGTCTCATACTTTGAACATCTATCTGGGCGAGGCTACTCCTTGGAAAAGGACATTGTGCTTAGAAAGATGGAGGAGGGTCAGCGAGAGAAAGGAAGACACAGACGCGCACACACACACACACAAGAGAGATGGACACAGTGACTGCAGCAATGGGCTCAAATGTGTCAGAAGGGGGCTGCAGAGGGAGAAAAGTGCAACAATGAATGACTGGAAACCCTAAGTCTGTGTAAACTTTCACTAAAATTAATTTTAAAAAAAAGGGGGGGGGAAATGTGTCTGAGGGATGAGGGTGGAGCAGTGTAGGATGGGGTTCAGTGATGTCGTTCAGAGGGTGTCTCTGAGCTGTGCTCTACTCACACACACACACCACCACCACACACACTCGCACACACAACCACCACCACACACACTCGCACACACAACCACCACCACACACACTCACACACAACCACCACCACACACACTCACACACAACCACCACCACACACACTCACACACATACACGTGGCCCTGCCAGGCTAGCACGTATGCATGTACTGCACAGATTGCATGTAGCTCAGTTCATCTTCCACTGAAGCCAAACACGTCCAGCCCCGCGCAGCAGGTCTGCACTGGACAGACGGTGCGGCCATGGGCAGACGTGTGTCCGAGCCCGTGCCAGACCTCACTGCTTTGCCTTTTCTCTTGTTAAACGGTGGTGCGGTCATCTGCTGGGCATCCCCGAGGATGCTGGGAGAGCCGCTGCCGGGCCTCCGGCCGTGACACGGTGCCCCACGCCCCCAGGTGTGAAGGCACCTTCACGCCTTCCGTCATGGTGCACACGCTCACCCGCTCTCATGGCCTCTCCCTGCCTCTAACCTGGATCCTGTCGTTGTGACTCCCCGTTCCTGAAGGGTTGCAGGCAGCAATGTCTGAAGGGCTGGGCCTCGTGTGCAAGGCACAATTCTTCGTGCAAGTCTTTGCTGCCTTCCATTTGGCTGTCCACCACGCCAGCAGCTGGGACCCCACATGGGGACCTGAGAACAGCAGCTCTGCTGCTGGAATGTCCACCCTGGTGTGGCGCTCCAGCAGGGGCAGTGTCCTTCAGCCCCAGAAGCCACCCAGGACCACACCACCAGGGTGTCGCAGGGAGGAGGGCGGCCAGTCAGCATTTAACTGCCGTGCTGGCCACTGCGTCCTTCTGAAGGGTCCACAGCACTTTCATGTCCTCTGTGAGGTGACTACCACACCCTGCAGAGTGGACCTGGGTTCTTATCCCCATTTTATGTGAGGACACTGAGGCCAGAGAGGTCGCGTGCTTCTCCTGCTGACCAGCCTCTCCCGGTCACCCTGCGGTGGCATGGTGACCCTCGCGGCCAGGCACACACAGGAGCCTCCGCCGGCTGAGCTGGTCCCGCCCCACCAGCCTGGCCCAGCCTCCTCGGTCAAGTGCTTGGGTGGTCCCTTTGCTGCCCTGGGCCTCTTCCCCTGATTTATGTCAGTGACAGACCCTGGGAGGCCCTGTCCACGCTCTGATCCAGGGCAGCCGAGAGAGAGACAGTGCTTCCTTCCTGCCCTAGGACATGCTTGCAAGCATAGGAACTCTTCTTTGAGTCAAGTTGGCAGCGGGCTTTCTTATTAATCAAATATAGAATTTGTTAGGCACTTAGGGTCGACTGTGCCAGTGATCTGCTGTTGCTGTACTTGTAGTTGGCCATGCTGCATTTTCTCACTCACCCATCTCCCCACAGGTGGTTCGTGTTTGACACAGAAACAAAGGACCTGGTTACCGTTCACACGGATGGAAACGAACAGCTGTCTGTGATGCGCTACTCACCAGGTCGGGACACAGACCACACTCCCCAATTCCACTGAACCACCGGGTGCTCAATGGGTGTCTTAGGGAGAACTCGCAGGCCCTCTCAGAGCCAGGTTTAACTCATGCTCCCACATAATTGTGTGCACGGGGGCCTCCCCCCATCCTTGAAGTGCCTTCTGGTATGACTGCGCCACCTTGGGCGTGTGATAACTTGCTGTTGTGGAAAATGCCTGTGAAAGGAGCCAACGCAGCACGAGAGAGTGACCAGATCTGGCCTCTCCCCGATTCCTAAAGGGGCGCTTTCCCCGTCGATAATGTCCATAGCAGCAGACAGAGGGACAGCCGATAGGTCAGACACGCCCCCCCCCCCCGTGTTCCTGCACACATTTTTACCAATCATATGTGTTCAGTATTCATTGCCGATTCACAGACTTTTCTCACAGCTGTGGTACCAAGAGTGGGTTTTATTAGGGAAATAGGTTTGGGCGTAAGAGAGACAATACCTCATAATACAAGTCTAGGTTAGTCCAGCCATCCAAAGCCAGATTAACAGCAAAACACAGTTTGTTAATTAGTGAAAGTCCTGGTCAAATCCAAATTGTCTGGCAAGGTTTGTCTCTGAGCATTTTAAGTCAGCTTCCCCTTCAATCATCCAGCAAAAACAGCCAGACCTTTAGCTGTCACCTTCATCTCAGGGCTCCTCTGATTATACCTGGCCACAGTTTCTCCACAGCAATGCCACAGTCTCACCACCCCCATCACCAGGGTCTCGCTCTCACCAGGGATTGCTCCAATCCCTCAAGTCTTGCTCTTCAGTGTGGGAAGCACACTCTCTCTTACCCTAGTCCCACAGCTGTTGATGATTTGAAAGACCTTGTGTCTGCAGTCAAGGTAGCTGGAGACAGAGGGAGCTAACATAATGGCTCGAAAAGCCAACTTGTAACCGCACTGCCAAACAGCAGCAAGAGATAGAATAATGAGAGATAGAATAGAGTAATGGCCTCATGCACCCATCACCTGGCTTACCATCATGCATTGTACCCACTTGCTCAGCTGCAGCCCCACCTTTGGCTTCTTGTGGGGTGCCTCTGAGTTGATTATAATTTATAGGGACCCCGTGTGGCAGGGCAGAGCCACAGTGAGGTTTTCTGGATCGCATAGCTGGAGAGGCCTGGGGTCTGACCTTGGACAGAGGACTGGGTAGAAGGGAGCGGCTTCTTTCAGTGAGCAATCAGTCCCTTGTGCTGGGTCTTGAGGGCACCTCACAGTGAGACTGTTGTTGTTCTGGGATGTCGTCCAGTGGGCGTGTTCCAATTCCAGGCTCTTCTTTCTTGATGGTAGGAGGCCCCTCTGACCTCTGCTCACTTGTTGAATCTCTTTTTTAAGAGATTGACTCCAGTACGTTCTAGTCCTGAGATTGCATCCTGCCCAGTTTTCTGAGCGAGCCTCTCCCAGCTGAGCAGAGCCCTGTCCTGCACCAACCTCCTCCTCTGCTGTGTGTAGATCAGTATCATAGAGGTTACGATGTACAACACACAGAGTAATAACATCAGAGCACAGAACAGAGCACAGCGCAGCCTGTCTGCAGACATCATCACCCCTGACCCCGAGATGGACAGGCTGGCCTCATCCTGCCTGACCCCTCATTTTGACAGGCCTCGGCCAAGACTCCCTAAAGTGTGTTTGCTCACGGTCCAGCCATCTTTCTCCTGTGCATTCTCTAGGTTGGGAAATGGGGAGGGAGAGGAGGTGTCTCCTATGGGGGAGGGGGAGGCAGAGGGGCGGCTCCTGTGGGGGAGGGGGGACTAGATTGAGGAGAGGGACGATCCAGGGCCATCATGGCCTCTGGGTGCTTTGGGACATCATCAGAGTTAGCTGCTCCATTGCTGTGGGGGACGCTGGTTCACACCCCTTACTAGTCCACGTGGGGACAGCAGCTGGCCCACAGCCCTGAGCCCCTGTGGAGACACCCCCTGCTCTGCCTGCCACTCTGGGCCTCCTTGGTTCAGGGGGTCCCAACCAGAGTGAGGCCCCATCCCCCCAGCTCTGCCATCAGGAGACCCTTCCTGACCTGTCCCTGGTGTGGTTATGTGGAGTCTGTCCTGAGTGCCCCATGTCTGGGTGGACACCCAGGGCTGCACCCTAGGTTGACTGAGGCCAGGTCCTGGGAGGTGAGGGGACAGTAAGGACAGCCCCCGAAACCTGGGGGAAGGGTGACGGTGACGGCCCCTGGAGAGGAGGGAAGATGGGTACCTCACGACATTGGAGAGGATCTGCAGTGTTGGGGACAAGTAAGGTGGCAGTGGGCCACACTCCACAGCTGGGCCCTCACCCTGCGTGGTGACCTGTCGGAGGGCTGTGCGAAGACCGTGCCATCAGCTGGTTCTGCAGAGGCAGCTGTATGGTGTGGAGGACACTCCCGAGAGCGCACCCTCCCTTCACGTGAACCCACTGACGGGGCCATGTTTTCTTCATTGCCTCCAAATTTGTGACAGCCACTGGCTTCCCGCTGATGGGGCCCATGGCCGTTTGCTACAAATCTCTGACGGTCACTGGCCACCTCCTCACAGGCCACATGGCCATTTGCTCTAAATGGGTGATGGTCACCAGCCCATCGTTTGTAATTAGTAAATGTTAACGACTGAGATGCCGTTTGTCCTGTTTCCATAGACGGGAACTTCCTGGCCATCGGCTCCCACGACAACTGTATCTACATCTACGGAGTCAGTGACGCTGGAAGGAAGTACACACGAGTGGGCAAATGCTCGGTGAGTGGCCTGCTACCTCTCACAGCGCAGGGGTGTGTGTGGGTGGGTGTGTGTCCGCCCGCCAAATCACCGCACTCCAGCGTGGCGTTGTTAGGTGATGTCGAGTTGACTGCAGCTCACAGCAGCCCTGGAAGCCTGATCTGTCCTGTGCCCCATCCCGGGTGTCCTCACCGTCCTTGTCCCACCCCTTGGGTCCTCACCACCCTTGCCCCGTCCTGTGGTCCTCACTGTCCTTGCCCCGTCCTGTGGTCCTCACTGTCCTTGCCCCGTCCTGTGGTCCTCACTGTCCTTGCCCTGTCCTGCCCGTTCTCACCGTCCCTGTCTGGCACCTTGAACTCACTGTCACCGTCACGGTGCCAGCCTATCATGTTGATGGAGGGTCTTGTTCACTTTCGCTGACCCTCAGCCTCTCCAAGCGTGATGTCCATCTCCAAGGACTGACCCCTCCTAACAACATTTCCTAGGTACATGAGATGAAGCTTCCCCACCCCTGCCTCCAGGGATACCTGGTGGCCCTTCATCAAGACCTAGCGTCAGTCCAGGGACTGCTCAGCAGGCCGGCATCCCAGCTCAACGCCAT